ATAAAATCTAATAAACTATTGGGTATTATAATATTAAAGCTAGAAATTCTACAAAAGACTATCGTACATTGCGAGAGTATCATGAAAGTATATTGAAATTATTTTCATGATAGACTTATCATGTACATTTAGTATATATAGGAATAAGTTTTTTGTATCAATTGAACGGAAGGATGAGTTGATTTTGCATATGTGAATATGAGAAGTTCTTTGGAAGCTTTCGCACCGTGGTTGAGATCAGGTTTTCGTCTGCGTATAGCAAGAGACTCCTTGAATAACAACAGAGACCAGTGGTCTGACCTATCAATTATTTTACAATTTCTAAATATTAGTTGAGTTAAATTAGTGTTTATAATGTTAGTTGAGTCAGGTGAAAGTTCCATAAGGGATTTGATGTGTTGAAAATGTTCGCAGCAGTTGATGTGGGAGTTGATTTCCGAGTTTTCTCGTGTGCTATGCTCTTTCAGACGGGTGTATAGACAGCGGTCTGTTTTACCAATGTAGCTGCTTCGACAACCCGGACATGAAAATTCGTAAACTACGGAGCTTTTGTATTCATCCGGTGTTTTGTCTTTACAGGACAGGAAACAATTGGAGTTCGTAGTATGCCAGTTTAAAATAAATTTACACGGACTCTTTAGTAAACGGCGAGTTTTGTTTATGAACTTTTTGGTCAAAATGTTGCCATATTTGCCAATAAATGGGAGTCTTATCCATATTTTGGGTAGATTATCTGGTGTTGCGCGTTCTGTAAGGTCGACGTGTGGGATGTTATTGCTTCCTTCCGGTGTCAAGCGAAATACCTGACCTCTGCGAAATTCCTGACCAAGCGTGACGGCTCATGTATTTCGCGCGTGTAGGCGGGAAATACATGACGCTTGCGAAATACCTGACTCGATGAAAACCTCAATCAAAACCATTCTTGGCTTACATCTCGGTTTATATCGTGTTTAATGCTATAATAATGTATTGTATCGAGTACCGAAGCTAGAATCAATTTGATATTTCTGATATTACTGAACAATCGGGAATATATGTTTTTTATCGATTATACTTTATATAGACTATAGTCAATAAACAATCTGCGACTTCACGGGAAATGAATAATAAATAAATTGAATTAATATATTTTGCATATAGTCTATAGAATATATTTACAAAGAAAAAGTTGATTATTATACTAGTATAACGCGTTTTACGCGTGTTAGGCCTACCTATGTAGGTATCTTTGGATATCATGTTGGACTTTATTGTAAGGTATGACTCTAGTTTTAAGCTGCGTTTTTATAAGGAAAAGTTTAAATATTTTTAAATCAGTTTTGACTGTCCAGTAAATTATTTGAACTACAAATGCACAATGTCAATGACATTGAATCATTCATACAACCATAAATCATAATATGGAGATATTTCAACATATGCACAATATACGCACAGTATACGCACCACCAACTAGTTAAATTAGATAGAAACGACTCAACGAGTTATAGGCCGTGGGCTGTTATGCGAAAAAGTGCCTAGAAAAGCAATTTCGTGGCACCCTCCTGGGAAATAGATTTTCTGTGGTTCACTGATTAATAGAACCATAGATGCTTAATACAAGTCCGCGAAATACACGACGTTTGCTAAATACAATCGGTCGAAACGATTTTTAAGTCCATATGCGATGTTAATACCACAAATGTTTCTAATATAGACATCGCCAAATCTAAACGGCCAACTCGGCAACTCACGAACTCATTGTTGCTGTTTGCTACTGAAATCGTGACAATTGAGAAGGTCAAACCTAACCGTGGTCAAACGCGAAACAAATTTTGGTGCTTATAGTAATGCTTTATAAATACACGTGTTGTCTGTTGAGTTGCGAAATTTATGAGCCAAAGTCATTCATGCACATCGTCTGCGCATGGGCAGTTCTACAATAGTCAGATATTTCGCAAGTCAGGAATTTCGCGTCACACCGGGTTTGAATCACTGGCGTTACGCCGCCCTATATATAAGCGCCCTGCTCTTATCCATGCTGTTTTGCGCGACCAAGGCGTGAAACTAGAAATGTGCGTGTATTGACCGGTGTGTGTAGACTTGCGAAAAATAGTTATGTGAATGTAAACTTGATTTGAGGGTGAAATGAATTGAAGGCTCGTAGAATGATTGGGATATCGTATCATCAACATAGCGGGCTCGCCGTTTACTAAAGAGTCCGTGTAAATTTATTTTAAACTGGCATACTACGAACTCCAATTGTTTCCTGTCCTGTAAAGACAAAACACCGGATGAATACAAAAGCTCCGTAGTTTACGAATCTTCATGTCCGGGTTGTCGAAGCAGCTACATTGGTAAAACAGACCGCTGTCTATACACCCGTCTGAAAGAGCATAGCACACGAGAAAACTCGGAAATCAACGCCCACATCAACTGCTGCGAACATTTTCAACACATCAAATCCCTTATGGAACTTTCACCTGACTCAACTAACACTATAAACACTAATTTAACTCAACTAATATTTAGAAATTGTAAAATAATTGATAGGTCAGACCACTGGTCTCTGTTGTTATTCAAGGAGTCTCTTGCTATACGCAGACGAAAACCTGATCTCAACCACGGTGCGAAAGCTTCCAAAGAACTGCTCCGCCTTTCTGGCTTTATAATAGCTGCATCTGTAATTTTAACACTATTATTAATCCTGAGGATGACTACAAACTAGTCGAAACGTCGATTAAAAATCAAAATGTTATTCGGAGTTACTGTTATTTTGTATTTTTTTTTTATAGGATATAGGTTTATTCGAAGTGTTATAGTCCTATCACTAACGTCGCGAATAACTATGTCGATTGCACATGTCTGATACAAACATATTGAGCCGTAAAGTCTACGCTGTAATTAATAAGTGGCTATTACGCTCGAGCCTCAAATTTTGCCATTTTATCTCCTACTGAGTATATGCCGGTTCGTGGCCCTTAAAGATAGACACTGAACATTTCATGTGTATATGTGGCTTTAGGAAATATTCCATAAATTGCTACGATTTGGGATGATTTCCCGATTGAAAACCGAAATGATTTCCCGATTGAAAACCGAAATGATTTGTGCGATGTCGGGCTATTTGCCGACAAAGCGCGCTAGCCGCTGTTATTTTGACAGAATATGATTATATGATATAGGCCTACCTCTACACTTTTCAGCCGTAATACATATAAATGCGCGCATTGTAATCATATACATATCGTTTAATTTAGCTTCAAAAACTTGATAAAAAACATGTTTATATTCGTGTTGGTTCCGGAGCGCAATGGTGTGATCGTTGCCAGAGCACATGCACTAAGCCGCCTCGGCAGCCTATATATCGTGTATGTAACGGGAAATCTTGCTTATTTCAGTCTAATAAAGTCAACTTTTTTTCTTTGATAATGTGCGCAACATGCTGCGCATTTTACATTTAACAAAATAGAGCAATTTTGATTTTATCAAGTTTTTGAAGCCGTAAATTAAACGATATGTATATGATTACAATGAGAGCATTTTAATATGAGGATGGGAAAGGGTATTTTCGTGAGCCGTGAATGGTTAATATTTGTTCGCGTGAAATGTGAAATGCTTGATTTTAGTGTCGTGAAATGTGATTTGTTCTACAGCCGTGAGGCGTGATTGTTGATAAAAATGCTCCGTGAAATGAGAATTAAGGATGCCTGTTTCGTGAACTGTGATTATTATAGTGATTTTTATAATAATAATAATAATAATAATTTATTCAAACAAAGTCCCAATATTGGGACATAGAATACATGGGTAAATAACTAAATAAGTCGTTACGGTCTATAACAATAACATAGATATTAATACCGGGTGGCCCAAAAAAAAGTACTCCTGTTTGATTCGTAATAACATCTAAACAAGTATAGCTTTTAAAGAGAAATAACTTGCATCAAATAGAGGAAGGACTAACTTAGACTTTGATATATTACAGTTGTATTTCCGACTTAAAAATTCGCGGAGATATTAATCTTTAAATTCGGGAGGATATTTCTGGATGTCTGAAATATGCAAAAATCGGCGTATCAAATATTAATCAAGATTTGCCCGACTGAAACATGCACTATTACCAGTAAATAAATGACACTTGACAAATTGTTTATTATGAAACAAAGTATTATTATATCTACAAAATACAAGCAAGATTCATTCGTCCGAGATTCGCGTGTGTTCCTAGCACGAATACGTTTCCTTATTTCATGAGACCACTGCATCGCGAAGGATCGTCATTGGATCGTTCGTAGTTCTGAATTAGGGCATGCTGTCACAACGGAATTGTGAAGCTCTTCTAACTTCTGCAACGTTCTGAAATCTTTGAAGAACACCCAAACTCTTTAGTGCCGTTTCTTAATCTTGGCAAGTTCATGGAGTAAACTGAGAATTATATGAAACACAATCAAACCATACAACTCCATAAGACATAACAATTAAGCAACTCCCCAGAGACATGCAACATTTTTGGAACAAAACGTAACAAAATAGTAGCGTTGTTACGGTGATGTGTATTTGCAAAAAGCAATATTATTTCCTTCAATAAAGAATATTCATCCTGCTCTAACCGAGAAATAATCTACTCAGTCTGTTTGAACCCATTAAAAACATAAAAAAATTAGGCTATTTAAGAATACGAAAAATTTAAGCGCCTGCCTTCCATGGTCAGTCTTTCATGTACATTTAAGTTTGCAAAGACCTAATATTAAATACTTGCATAATTTCGAACGTTCATATTTCAGGAAACAATGAGCTAAGACTTACATGTAAGATGTCTAAATCTACGCCATATCCCTTACAAACCTTAACGATAATTCGCTGAAATACAAGTTAGCCTAATATGTCATTAAGCAAACAAACGCTGGAGTTAATATTTGATATGCCGATTTTCGCTAATTTTAGACACATTCCAAAATATGCTCCCCATTTTTAACATTAATATATCCGTGAATTTTTAAGTTAAATACAACTGTAATATATCAAAATCTAAGTTAGTCCATCCTCTATTTAATGCAAGTTATTTCTCTTTAAAAACTTTACTTGTTTAGAAGTTATTACGAATCAAACAGGAGTACTTTTTTTTGGGCCACCCGGTATATATGAAAAAAAGTTGATAAATGTATAAATACACATACATACACACGCACACGTGAGTAATTAGATCAGGCTATCAAAAGCAGCCAAAACGTCGAAACAATATTTGCCTACTAACTTCATTATTGACTTATCCTTCATAGCCATAATATATATAAATAGGTTTTCCGAAGTAAATAAGTTGAAAAACCTATTTATTTTATATAAATTATCAATGAATTTTGTCCTGAGGTCGATGAACTTCATGTTTGTACAAGACATTAAAAAGTGATGTTCATCTCCTACTTCATTTAACTCACAAAGTCTGCATAGTCTATCATTGTATGGGACATTGTTGTATCTACCAGTTTCAACAGTTAGCTTATGTGCTGATATTCTTAACTTTGTAACAGCTTGACGATATTTGAAATTACTAATTTCGTTTAAGTATTTTTCACATTCAAAGTGTTTTTTTATTTTTCTAAAAGTTCTTAGCTTGCCAGTATTTTCGACAGGTTGAAACTGCTCTGCCCAATACAATATAAACGCTTCTTTAAATCTATGTTTCACGTGATGGCAAACATTTCCTTTTTCTGTTTCAGATAATTCCGTCTGCAAGTTGGATAATTCAGTTTGTGAATCGCAATTTTCTCCCCCACATAGTTGCAGTGCATATTTGATAAAAATTGTTGACTTTAGGTTAAGTTCCATGCATACATTCGCTGCTTTTCCAACAAGCGTGTTTGATAACAATGAACTTTTTATTCGAAACCAATATTTTACAACCAGCTTAGCTATTTGAACGATCAAAGGCGTTCTTCCTAGCTCAGCATAAATAGCCATGTTTGTTGATTTTGAATGAACTCCTAAGACTCTTTTGCAGAATTTTAGATGAAGTTTTTCAATTGCACTATTGATTTGGAAAATTTTTTTCTTGAACATTTCGAAAGAGTTTATTCTGCCCAATAAATGCGGACCCCACACTTCGCAACCGTATAATAAGATTGGGGTAACTATCGAAGAAAATAGTTTTAACATTAGTTTTATTGGAACATTTTCGACATTTGAGAAACTTTTAAATATACTATGATAGGCATGTAATGCTTTTCCGTAGATTATCTTTTGTGCTCGCTTGAAAGTACCAGAAAAGTGAAGAGTAATACCCAGATAACAATATTCATCAACTTGTTCCAAAATATTTTTGCCGAATGTCCAGATTGATGTAGAATGCCTACGTTTTTGGGTTGGTGTTCCAAATACTAGAACTTTGGATTTTTTAAGGTTAATGTTTAACTTCCACTTTTTGGTATAGTAAACAAGTTTTGTGAGGCAATTTTGTAACCCTGCCCTGGTTTCGGATAATAAGACTAGGTCGTCTGCGTAAAGCAAACAGCTTAGATTTGTATAATTTAATTTTACTGGAGTGCATGACCTGTCAAATATATCAGGTAGATCATTAATGAATAGGTTGAATAAAGTAGGACTTAAGTTACAACCCTGTTTGACCCCTACATGTGACCTAAAGAAAGTTGTATACCCCTCTTCCAATTTTACCGAACAGTCATAGGAGGAATACATGCTTAACATTAAACGTATGAATCTCTTGCTGCAACCATTCAAGATCAATTTGAAGAAAAGACCCTCCCTCCATACACTATCGTAAGCTTTTTTGAAGTCAATAAAACAAGCAAAGATTGGTTTACGTTTTGATTTGTAATAATCTATTAGAGTTTTCAAAACTAATAGATGGTCGGCTGTCCTATAATTTTTTCTAAATCCGATTTGGGAATTACTCATAATGTTGTTTTCGTCTAGATATTTATTTAGTCGTTCATTCATGATTAATGTGAAAAATTTTCCCAAACAACTGCTTATGCATATTCCTCTATAATTATTCGGGTCGATATTACTTCCTGATTTATAAATGGGGACTATAAAACCTTTAGACCAAAGTGATGGGAAGTGTCCATTGGACAAGATTTTATTAAACAGTTTTTCAAAGTAGGATGGCAGAACCTCAACTGCTAGTTTAATTATCTCATTGGACAACGAGTCATTGGCACTGGCTTTCTTATTCTTTAATCTTTTTGATAATGTGTACACTTCTTCCAGTGATACTGGTCTGTCAAGAGTATCATTTGTACCTAATGCCCAGATATTAAAATCTTTTATGATTTGTGCTTCACTGCTTGCTACTTCAGTATTGATATTTATTTTGTTCAGGTTTTTGAAATAATCAAACCATTCAGATGGTAGAATTTCGTGTGAAATTCTAGGTTTTTGAGCTTTTATGGAGTTAACGAGTTTCCAGAAATCTTTAGGATTGTTTTCTGATAATAATTCAATTTTATTTAGTATAGAATTATGAAATTGTCTTTTTTGTTTTTTAACTGTACGTTTATATTCCTTCTTTTTTGCAAAAAAGAGATGACGTAAGTAAATGTCGTTGGGAAATTTCGAGAGTAGACTACCTAAATTTCTCAAGTTCTTTTTCAGATTGTGACAATTTCCGTCATACCATTCCTGTCTCATTTTGGTATTACCTTTTTTGATCTTTTTCTTTTGCCTCTTAATGTTTAGAACTTTTTGTGAGGTATCGGACAAAATTTCTGAGAAATTAGCTACAAGTATATCTGTGTAGGTTGCTTCATCACTAGATACACCTTTATGTTGGAAAAATAGCGATTCTAATTTATTTTCTACTTCGTTCGAACTCATGCATTCTCTTAGAGCATCCTTTTGACTTTCATTCCAAATAAAAGATTTAATATGAGGGGTTAATTTGAAAGTATCACCTGAGTTTTGTGGATATTTAATCTGTAGTATAAAAGACAGACATGAATGATGAGAAAATTCAGTGATATCTTCAACATTAAAGCCTACAACAAATGAGAGCAAGCTGTGCGAGATAACAACATAGTCAACCACACTTGCCCCGTTGTAGGTCTGACAGGTAAATTGCCCAAGGAGATCACCGTTTGTTCTTCCATTTAAAACAGCCATACCATTGCCAATACATAGATCAATAAGGGATTTCCCATAAGCATTAACATGGTGATCTTTTGAATATCGCTGGTCTAATGATGGAGTGATATATTTATCATCTTCCAAGAACTTATTGTCAACAAAATCTTCTACAACACCTATTCTAGCATTAAAATCTCCACACAAAATGATATTGCCCTTGCTTGCAAACTTATAAATATTATTTTGGAGGTTTTCGAAATGATCAGTATTTAATCGTGATTCGCGTGATGAATTCTGTGGTGGAATGTATACAGTGCAAATGAAAATATCATGTTTGAGATTAAAGAACGTTTTGTCCAATTTATACCAAATAAACTCTTCACTACTTTCCTTGTCTAAAAACTTTATCCCTTTTTTAAGAGTTGACTTAACAAGAATAGTTATACCACCAGAACTTCTACGCGAATTTTGAGAAACCGTTTTTCTACATTTTGAAAATGAATGAAAACCATCGATATTAATATTGCATTTTTCATGGGGCAACCACGTTTCAACTAAAGAGACTAAATCAAATTTATGTAGCTTTGAAATAAATTCTGAGTCATCGATTTTACTTAATAAACCTTCAATATTCCAACTTGCAAACTTTAGGAAATGCTTTGCCATCAGTTGAATAAGATAGCAAACCTAGTCTAGTATATGTATATGTATGCTAAATAAATCTATAATTAAATAAATCTATAATTAAATAAATCTATAATTAAATAAATCTATAGCTAAATAAATCTATAATAAACATGATACGCGATAATCAAATTTATATGATCTCACTCGATTGCACAAGCGTAAAAACTTCGGAGGCCTTTCGCGAGGTTCCTCACGCTGAGGACAAGGTTCCTCACGCTGAGGACAAGGTTCCTCACGCTGAGGACAAGGTTGAGGACGCTGAGGACAAGGTTGAGGACGCTGAGGACAAGGTTGAGGACGCTAAGGACACGCACGCAGGTCGTCGTATATTCTCGTCACTCAAACTTGCACGTTATGATGTAGTTTTTAACTGACAGGTATAGAGAAATGAGAGAACTTAAAGCGTAGATACTGTACCATGCATTAAACATAGTCTTAATAAACCTATTATTATTATATTATTTTATAAGAATCTAGTTTTCCGTGAAATTGCTTTTTTTAAGACACGTGAATCGTGAAACGGCTTTTTTTTTCCTTGTGAAACGTGATCCATACCCCCCTTTCCCACCCTCATTTATGTATTACGGCTGAAAAGTGTAGAGGTATCATATTCTTTCAAAATAACAGCGGCTAGCACGCTCGGTCAGCAAATAGCCCAACATCGCACAAATCTCGGCACAAATCATTTCGGTTTTCAATCGCGAAATCCCAAATCTTAGCAATTTATGGAATATTCAGTCTGAACGCCATATCACATGAAATGTTTGTCTATCTTTAAGGGCCACGAACATATACTGGGACTGAGATAAAATAGCGAAATTTGAGACCCGAGCGTTGGCCACTTTACAGTCTTTACACTCAATACAGCGTACAATTTATAGCTCACTATGTTTGTATCAGACATATGCAATCGACATAGTTATTCGCGACGTTCGTGATAGAAGACACTTCGAAAGCTAATAAACCTATATCCTATATTCGTGACACTTCCAAAGCTAATAAACCTATATCCTATAACTTAATATCATCAAGCAATACATCTATAGACTTATTAGACTATACGAAACGGACACATTTACTTGTTATACAATAGATAACAGCAGGATAAGAAATTAAATAGCATGTATATTCTTTTATTACTGGAGATTTGTTGCGTCAAATTTTCCTGTATTTATGTAGCGCATAAAAGGAAAAAGTACGAAAAAAATATTAAAAATAAAAATAATATTTTCATGAAAAAATGCGTTTTAGCACATTTTATGACCCACGACTTTACCCGCGACTTTACCCACGACTTTACCCACGACTTTACCCACGACTTTACCCACGACACACGACTTTTGACCCACGACACACGACATATAGGGACACTCATCTCAAATGATCAAAGAACAAAACCGTGTTCGCGTTTTTTGACAGGTATTGTATTTGCTTTGATATAAAGCAGACAAGTTGACTTATCTAAATTTTGGGTGAACGGCAGAACAGATGCCTATAACTTGAAAAGTATGGCACTAAATAAAAAACGCGAACACGGTTTTGCTCCTGAACTATTGTTCAACATTGTGGCCAAGTTTGGAGGGAATCGGATAAAACGTGCGCGTTTCTAAACTATTTTTGTGGACAATCTGAGAGGGGTTTCCGCTCTCTGTTATCACCTCGAACTGTAATTGGGTTAAAATTAGTAAAATGTGTTTCGCAAGGATTTTAGCTGTCATTCACTCATTATCAGCTTATCACAAACCGTACATGCGAAAAAACACATGCAGACCGATTTTAATCGGCCAAACGAAAATGCAGTTACTGCATTTTCGTGGCCGATTTAGATCGTGCAGTAGAAGATCTGTCGTAGCCGCCGCATTTGTATTTTTTTTTTATTTTAAAATAACAATTACATGAAATATTTAGCAGTGGGTGGTCAGCAGTGTATATTTTATGCAAATGGCCGCCAACCTCATGTTTTTTTTATAAATACTGCCGGTAAATAAATATATATATATACATTGTAGAATAGTGGTTTTTATTAAACAATTTAAGTTCTGTTGTTAAAAGAAAACTGGTTGTGAAATTCAATATAAAAAATTTAAAAAGAACCGCCCGCCGCATTTGCATTTTAAAAAATAGGTACGCTACGCATACATGAATCTACGAATAGCAATAAATCGTTGCCCCACCCTACCCAGTAGTCAATAGACAATTTTAAAAAGTGAATGCCGACAAGCACAAGCTAGTCTAGAATATAATCAGAAAATAATATATGCGTACACAAACAGGTCATTGACATACCAGTAATTTGCGCTAAAATGGTTATTCCGGATTAAAATATTTACAATTCTAATTGTAGGACGATATTTAGTGGAACACTTATTATAAACAAATCCATGGTAGTAAAAACCCACAGTAACTGTGTCTTATGCGTGCACAATCCGAACGCGTTTTTCGCGTGACGAATTCGTACATGCCATAATAATAGAGACTCCTGCCCACTAACCAATACAAGGCCAATGCTCCTGCCGTGAAACAAGATAGTATGAAAAAATAAATATAATATAATAAAGTATTTTCAATTGTTCGTAAATAATATGTTGAAACAGAGACAGGATAAGCCAATATATAGGTAAACGTGAACAAGAATCACGTATAAATACATCACTGTTGCACTTTTATTGTGTCTACATTGAGTGAAATAATATTCGACATGAGCGCAGACTTCATATTGGGTCGTATTACATTTCGGAATTCTAACAACGACATGTTGGAGAATCACGTTCTAAACAATAAACATTGGCACTCAACGAAAGTGTGCGGTGAGCCGAACCATATTAATATACGCTGCGTATTTATGTACTTTAAAACATAATTGTTTCATATGAGAAACTAAGCAGGAGTAAGAAATCGGCGCTGCATGATACAGACTACTGGAACGCGCAATCAGCTTTATTTATCAAAGTTCAGAGGTCGGCTGTCGCAAAACGTTTGTTTATATATTTAAAACATTTAATGGGCCAATTTTACTAGAAACCTTAGTGGCTTACTTCTTCGCTCATATTTTACCAAATTTCGCCTTCATTCGAGCCCCAAAACGGATTCAAATGCTGAGTGATAAGTGGACGCTTCAAAAACCAATACGTACTATTTTGTAAATTGCTGAAAAGTGTACAGCAATCATGCTGCTACAAAACACAGACACGTAGTTCTTGATTCGCTCCATTTTCATCCACAAGTCGTCATATTTCAATGCGTAAATAAATATAAATCATAAATTATAACCCCTCTTTACCGCCATATTGGATTGTCTCGAGACCAAGCCGTGATTTGTAATTGCGTCATTTTTGCTAATACTGGTCGCTGATTGGCTAAGTTAACAGTGAACAGTGAACAGCTAACACGTCGATAGCATATAATCTACTTCGTAGATTCAAAAACGTCTGATGAGAAACCGGGAATTTTTTTTACTTGGCCTAAATAAACTAAGTGCGTCACATGCACTGATGCAGTCATATCAATTGTTGTATCGCGGTATCGCTTTTTAGTAGTAGCCCATATTGACAATTACAATTACAACTTTCGCGGCAAAAGAATAAGTAGTTATAACATTTTTTGTTATATTTCCGACGCATTTTAATATTTTTGGAAAAAACTGGCGGCAATCGAGAGATCTCCAGCCCCTGAATATAATTTAATAAAAATGTAAAAAATGATGAAATCAGTGTTTTCATTTAAAGGTGATCTACAGTCCGATCTGCGCATGTGCACAAATGAGCCCACTTTTTATGATACAAACAGTTTAACTATGTTTTGAGTTCTTGAAAAGCCTGATTGTTGTTTCTTGATCATTTATTATACTCTAGAAGCTTGAAAATATAAATAGTTGTCGAATAAAGCTCAATATTTTGGACACAAAAATGTAAACAAAGGCTTTGTTTACATACGGACTGTAGATCACCTTTAAATAAAAGTTTCGTAAAATTTCGTAAAAGGGAATAAATAAAAGTTTCGTAAAGTCGCAACCGTTCGGTCGAAAATAAACAAAAGAAATATTATCTTCTATGGTTCTACCACAGAATAGAGAATATATTTTGTGTTTTGAGATCATTTTTTAAGCGCACGGTGCAGACGCTTCGTATTTCATGATAGGGTTTAAACCCTTGCTAGCTTGAAATCTGATGCTTGAAAATTCAAAGACGTCGCAACAAGCTCGTAAGATAACACTGGTTAAGATAACACTGGTTAAGATAACACTGGTTAAGATAACACTGTTGCGTGACGCACTTGATGTGAACGGGGAAAGTAATGATGATTCGACTGTATGACCTGCTTTCTTTAATAACTTTGGTGCAACTTTATCAGGACCGAGCCTAGCGGAGTCGCGCTTTCTTTGATACTGATAATAAAGCATAGCAAAGATGCGTCGTTTATCTAGCTAAAATATATACCCAAACTAAATAATGCCTAAACTGTTACGAAATCTCAAGAATTTGTTTTTTAGGTGATTTGATACGTATCTGTGAACAATGGCAAACAAGCACGCTATACTTTTCTGAGTGACGAGCTTGGTACAAGCACGCTAATCGGGTGGTAATCTTCAAGCACAAGCGCTAGTGTGACCGCCACTTGCGATAGCCTCCCCTCCTACGAAATTATCATCTCATGCGTGTGATTTTCAATGAACGCGGGTGATGATTCCAAAATGCGAGTGTCACCCGGCCGCTCAATGCCGGTGAGTTCACATATTTGAGTTTGGTATGCTGTCATATCATATAATGAGATTAAGGTTACATTATATGATGAAACTCTGATTTTGTCCAAATTATCATCTCATGCGTGTGATTTTCAATGAACGCGGGTGATGATTCCAAAATGCGGGTGTCACCCGGCCGCTCAATGCCAGTGAGTTCACATATTTGAGTTTGGTATGCTGTCATATCATATAATGAGATTAAGGTTACATTATATGATGAAACTCTGATTTTGTCCAAATTATCATCTCATGCGTGTGATTTTCAATGAACGCGGGTGATGATTCCAAAATGCGGGTGTCACCCGGCCGCTCAATGCCGGTGAGTTCACATATTTGAGTTTGGTATGCTGTCATATCATATAATGAGATTAAAAGGTTACATTATATGATGAAACTCTGATTTTGTCCAAATTATCATCTCATGCGTGTGATTTTCAATGAACGCGGGTGATGATTCCAAAATGCGGGTGTCACCCGGCCGCTCAATGCCGGTGAGTTCACATATTTGAGTTTGGTATGCTGCCATATCATATATCATATAATGAGACTAAGGTTACATTATATGATGAAACACTGATTTTGTCCAAAAATGTTTTTTTATATAGTCATATTAAGTAATGATATATCTCTCAATTCCAGCAACTTTTTTAAGAATATGTTAAAAAGCGACCGAGATATAGGGAAAATGCTATGACCACTGAATAGCTTTGCGCCAAACTTGTAATTATGATTGAACTTTGCTGGCGTCAAATATCAAGGTGTGAAATTCACTAAAGTGTAAGCCGTTTGTTATTGTTCGGAGGCATATATCATTGCGACAACATTAGAAAGCTTATATTATAGTATTTACAGAATCTCTCGAAGTTCAACTGCCTTGGTATAGCATTGTTCCCTAATCTTTAATATTTTAAAGAATAAGAGTAAGAAATATTTGTAATCACCATTCACCAATTAACCAAAATTTTGATCTCAACAAGTCTAGACAAAATTCCATCATAGCATGAAAGAGCATCGCAAAATTAGTAATATTCCAAAGTTTCGTTGCGAAATGTTGTAAAATGCGAATAATATAGCTTTGCGAAATTTGCAATTTTCAGTCATTTTTGATTACAAACGGGAAATGGCTTGCGAAGTTTGTAATTTTCAGTCATTTTGTAATCTGTATTACGCACAGAAGTGGTAACCATCTCCAGTTTGTAATCTAAAATGACTGAAAATTGCAAAGTCTAGATTTGTTGAGTTCAAAATTTTGGTTAATCGTTGGAATTATCCATAATTTATACACTTGAAATCTTGAATGTGCCGTATGATAACTCGGCGCTCGAAGTTTCGTATCGAAAGAGGAACAGCCGAACAGGTACGATGGCTAACAAGAATGAGTGTACTTATCGACTTATCTAACGCGAGGAAAAGATCAAAGTGGCATATATTTTTGCCTTCTTTGATAAACAGTGAGACGCACACTCGCACATGTTAAATGTCACCTGCATGTCATTGTCATTGCCCTTTAACCCCTGGTCTAAATCATATTATTGAAGCGGGGCCGTTTTGACCTAGCAGTGCACCGTATTTGTAAGCAAATTGTCTATACAATTTTGTATACTAGATATCACAGCCATACCTACAAGACAACCTCACATGTGGAATCTGTTCACTTACGCGTTGTGATGCAGTACAAGTACAAATACAAATGACAAAGCATTTTTAAACTTAAAGGCTTTAAATCCTAAAACATAATTAAATCATACGGCATATTCAAGATTTTAATATCGTATTTCAGCCGCGTTTATATAGCCTACGTTGTAGACCCCAGCAGAAACACGTTTCGTGAGGGGTCTACGAATAAACGAAGAAAAGCTTGCCCGGCTACGTCTTATCCGTTTTACGTTTTGGGTAAATTAACTTCAATTTATTCAAATTTCTGAAGCGTGCGTGAATGTAAATTTTCATTTGGCGCTTATTAAAGGCATTAAATGTTCCATGGCGGGCTTTGTGCAATACAAATGTGTTCTTTGCTTCAAAGTTCCGTCGAATAAAATTCTTGGACAGCAAGGACACTGTACGTAAGGAGTTAGACGACCTTTCCTTCTCCATAATTTTCACCTACAAATAGCATTTGCATATAAAGCATGCCTGGCCGCCTGGCGTTGGTAAACAAACGGTGAAACGGAGAAGCTTCAAAGAACGGTTTAATATGTGAGTTACTGAGCTAGAGCCTAGACAATACGATAACCGACGTGCACGAAACAGCATTAGACGCTATTGATAAATCTCGTGAACCAACTAGGATTCGAGCCGACTCGCGATAAAGCTTTTATGCCGGTGTCACAGGAGATTCGCCCCCCCCAGGAGATTCGCCCCCCCTCTCAAAAGGGGGGCGATATTCCTAGGATATTCTCCCCCCCCCCCGGGGCGAATCTCCTAGGAATATCGCCCCCCAGGGGGGCGAATCTCCTAGGAATATCGCCCCCCTTTAGGAATTTCGCCCCCCCATATAAATTTTGAATTTTTGATCTAAAAACAAAACGATTGCAAGTTGAAAAGATTTATTGTGTGATTTATTTATTTATTACAAGGAGACAAAATTGCATACACATTTTAGGCTTCTTAGCAGCTGGTGGTGTGCACAGTCTGCATAACCACTCATTTGAGGTACTTAGACTAGTGTCATATTCTACACATCTAAAGTGGAACCATCACAGAGATCGCATAAAATCGTGTTGTCGTATTCTTCTGGCAGTTTACATTCACATAACATATTATAAAAACAATCGCTTGCAAATTTTATCAATATGAGTGTTAACAATAGCCGCCACAGTAATCACTTGCTAACAATAAACTATAGGATTAGTAAAAAATCTATGGAATGTGTTGGGAAGCGTATTGACTATTGTCCGTTGAATCGTCAACTTTCCGTGTCAGTGATGTAATCTTGATTCTTCACTTCGCAAAGAAAATTGCATTATATATGTGGTGTGGTTTATTCAAATAATTTCACTGATACTTTGATTTTATTAGTGTATGCCTTAAACATTTGGGAATGTAACTCTGCAAAACTAAAAGCTTTCTTGTCTTTTTTGAAACGTATATTATTGGATTATTGCCTATTGGCAAGTTCTACCCTTCGCTTCTGAGATTTACAAACTATATTGAAACAAGACGCTCCATAGAGCGTTAACTCGCTGGGGCTATATACAAATACGCACATTACCATGTATGATACATACATGCATGCAGTACACAGCTATTTTAATTAAAATTTAAGGTTGTGAGGTTGTCCCAAGCTAAGCGGGAAACTGATCGCGAGTTTTGTTCACTCTGTTTTGAACCATATCAACATATAACAGTGCTCTGCAGTTTATTTAGGTGAATACCATGTTATAATATTGTTTATTATCCCACTGATTTGTATTGTGCCCCAATGGCAATCATGCACCCTACTTTATTATTAAACCAGTCGATTTTGCTTGTTAATTAAGGTGAGAGTGCATGCTGCCGCTCTCAAATTAGTAGGCTTGTATTGCAGGTAGGTGGCTCAGTTTTGAAGTTTCTGTTAGTATAATGACCTCAGTTCAGGACTTATACAATCAGAAACAGTACTATTACATGTGGTCTACAAATAAAACTTCCTGCGTTTCCGCCGGCTAGGATTAAACTGCGCTTAAAAACGTTCAAAATAATTTTTGGCTAGGGTTAAACTGCACTTAAAAACGTGCGAAATATAATATTTTTGGGCTCAAAATACTATCAAAATGAAGAGAGAAGTGAGACGAATCTACTGGTGTACGGACGAAAAAGGGAAAACCAACGATACCAAAGTTATCAAGGATCAAACGTACTGCATTTTTTATAATTAGTTTAATTAATATAAATTTTGAGCGATTTGTTAACAATACAATTTCGCTTGGCTTTCAAAGACAAACGCCATAAACCGCTAGAATACTGTTGTGTAGTAATACATTTGACATCCGTAAGTACAATTTCTTACGCTGAATCGAACGGTGATATTTTTATCCTTATTGCGCCATTAGACAGTACAAATACGAAGTCAAACGTACTGCGAGTGTCGAGTGATTGTCAACAACAGTAAACACATACTGCGAGAGGTCTGCGAGCGATTTAATAGTCAACAATACAATATCGTTTGATTTTCAAAGGCCATAAATTGCTAGAATATTGTTGTTTAGTAATACATTTGACATCCGTAAGTACAATTTCTCATATAAAACGGTGGTATTTTCTCCTTATTGCGCCATTAGATTAAGCATTACAAATACAATATCATATTTCACATTGCAGTTTACGTTCACAGCTAACTATAAGTATTTAGGCCTTAGAGACTGTTGTTGGATAAATTTTATATTGATATGACACCAATATGCTTCTCATCAAGTAGTTATCTATTAAAACTACGTTATGTAGTTTAAGTTATAACCTTTTACCTTGAAATTGTGCATGTCTTTGGCTCGTTTATATTCAGATTCAGTATATTATATGATCGTGCACAGGAATTCAAGTTATTCAACGATCCAAATTTCGGATTTTCAGAGTCGTGCACCAAGAAAAATGCATTAACTAAACTAGCAAGAATGTCCAAAGTTAGACACAATGCTAAATCCATAGAAAACAGGTACAATTCGTTGAAAATTTTAACGAAATTGTTCGAAACACTTTGCTCACTCCACCAAGGCCGCCATTTTGAAAAGGATAAAGTGGGTAGCTCATTAATATTCTATTTTGTGGCTATACAAGAAAATTGCGATCCACTATTGGAAATCCACTAAAAATGTGTGCCGAAACCTATACTCGCCCGGGCACAGGTGCCCCAGCGAGTAATAATGCAAGTAAAAAATAGTGACAAACCATACATTTTCCGATAACGACAAAACGTGGATGCAAAACAATACCAATAATTACAATAACCACCACGGTGATTACTTTTTAACAATGAGTTTAAGGATTAACACTGAAAATGCAAAATATGCATGGTGTGCTGTGAAGCGTCATAAGTCCTATTGAGTATTGATCTACTGTAACTGTGTAAAGCCATTTCGATACATGTAATTGTAAATTTGTATTCTTACATGCAGGGCTTGAAATAACGTTCCCAAAATTCCCGATCATGGTGATCGGCAGTCGTAACTTTCCCTGCTTTTTTCAGGTTGGAAACCGAAACCCTGCTTTTCCGCCGATCATAAGCAATTCCTTGCCGATCATTGATCGGTGATCGGTTGTTATTTCAAGCTCTGTCTTAACAATTTTGAATTGATACTGATTTCCGATACTGATTAAAGCCATGTAATAATTATCCCATGTAACTGTTAGGAAGGGCGAAATTTTGAACGGAGGACGAAAATCCCAAAGAAAAGGTGAAGTTTCTAAAGGGGGGCGCAATGTTAATCAGTAATAAAGGAACAAAAGTGTTCGCGTTTTCGATTTAGTGCATTATTTTTGTTGCATGCCCATTTGGTGCCGTTGTGCTCGCACTGATTATTTATCAATTATCAGGCGCTATCGTCTGAAAGGCAACGCTATCATAATACTAATTTTTTATTTGCTGAAATTGAAACGAAGCCATTGTGCTATCACTGATTATATTGTGTGCAAAACTACATCATATTCTGTAAATAATATGAAATATATTAAAGAATCAAACAAAATTCTCATTAATAATACTATTGTCCATTGAAATTTAATACAACAAAATAGCATTCTACTTCGATAATTATTAATTTCAATGATATATATAGTCGAGATCATAGTTTAATAATTATTTTCAATTTAATATAGTAACTCACTGTTTCCACGGGTTTTTATATTTTCAATAAGCCACAATAAAGCTAAATTTGTTTAAATTTGTAGGAAAATATATAAACATTGTTTACTTCAAATAGTTAATCAGTCATAAAACTTGACCATTGACCTTGTTATTACCGTCCCTTGCAACTACAGATGAACAGTCGCTCATAAAAACATTGCTCATTCCTGTGAAAATCTTAAGTTTTCTTATTTTGACATAATAGTTATTTTTCAATAAATATATTGATATTAAACTTTATTGAATCAATATTTTAAGTTCCACGCCAGTTGTACCAAAATTTATACGCGCGTGCGCACCATAAAGGCGGATTTTCATTCAGTACAAAATGTCGCGCGATCGACATTTTGCGATCACTTTCTTTTGAAATACAAGCAATCAAACGCAACTGATCAGGTTGACTGAGCGAATTTGGAAAGAAAGTGATCGCAAAAAGTTGATCTCGCGATATTTAATCATATTTTGCACTGAGTGGAAATCGGCCTGAAGCTTTTGGAGGCATGCAACATGTACGCACTGCGTACCTATTTTTCAATTTGGAAGCATCTCTTCAACCGCTTATACCCGCGCAAGATAAGTGAAGTTGTCTGCTTTATATCAAAGCAAATACAATAGCTGTCAAAAAATGCGAACACACTTTTCTTCTTTGGGCATTTGAGATGAGAAATATGATATTTTGGGAGCTCCTGAGTTAAACGGTCTGTCGTTAAATCTCGTGGCGCAAGAGGTGCTATTTTTCAAAAGATGTCTCATTGTGACTACAGGTTAAAAGGTGGTGAATTTTGGTTAAAACAGTAGCTTCTACAGTTAGTTACCATTGCATGTACCAAATTTGAGAAACGTAACTAAAAAATTGAGCACGCAGTGACAATTTTTCTGAAACAGGAATCTATCATATGATGTAAGCTTAAATAGATATATTTACATGTGAACTTTACAACGATGGTACCAACCTGTGCCAATCCGTGCCAGGTACGGGAGGCTATTACGTACTCGCATTCTCTATTGTATAAAGGATTCTCTTTTCTTGTGTGAAATGTGATTGCGGACGGACCATTAGAAAAGTGATGGGGGGGGGGGGTTCTAAGAGGCAATATTTTTTTTTGTACACTTATAGAAGTATTAAATATGAAATTTACAGGCTTATCTTCCAAGCCAGGGAATTTTTTTTTGCACTATGCGTGGGAAGAGATTGTGATTTATTTTGTAATTGTACCAAAGTGAACGTGTGTTTATGGGAGGCAATCCCCAACAAAGGAAATGAGAAAAAAATTACGTTTTTTCGTTTCCATACAATTCTGTGCAAATTCGCTTCAGAAAACGTCGAAAATGGTGATCTGGAGCATAAAAATGCTAAAACTTTTCTGGGTAAGGACCCCAGATCATAAATGCTAATTTATAAGTGCTTAATTAAGTGCATATTTAATTTTACCAAATTCCGGAGGAGGCGAACGTTCGAGCTTTTGTGTCCTGGTACCGAGTAAAACCTTAATTAATATTTGCAGATATTTTACGTTGTTAAATGTCCGCCAATATTGTAGCCTGCTCGCAGCCCGAAATTTCGTTCAAAGGAAAATTTCCGTTTCAAATTTTTGGGTGGGGGCTGCGAGCAGGCTACCAATATTGAAGTTCGCATTTTCAAGTTAGATTCTACATTGAACGGGGTAGCAAATCTTCGAGTTAAGCCCTTCGAGTTAAGCCCCGACCACACCCTTTCGAGTTAAGCCCCAACCACGCCCATGCCACACCCATTTCCGTTGAGGGCTTAACTCGAAGTGCATATTAACTGGAGTTAGGTACTTCGAGTTAAGCCCTCTAGAAAATAGGGGCTTAACTCGAGCAAAGTCAAACATTTTGTTCTTCGAGTTAAGTCCCAAAGTTTGAAGGATGTAAACGAGTTACGGTTAATCTGATCCCAAACAAGTTAAATTATCATGTGGATCGCGTTTCGTTCAATCACGGTTCAATACGTTTCATTTGAGTCGATGAATAATATATATTAGGGACTTTAAGATTGACGTTTACGGCAAACCTCTAACCGCAAACTTCAAATCGTAATTTGAAGTCAACTGTTAGCTGTTCGAAGTTAGAGCAACTTGGCCTTTTCTCCCGTAAAGGTCAAAGTTAAAATATTATCAAATTTTATACCGGTGTCCCAAAAAACACCGGACTCTGTTTGATTTCATGTAACGTAAAAGCTATAAAAGCTATCGCAATGAAATAAAGATCATTGCATTCATAATGGACTAACTTAGATTTTGATATAGAAAATGAGCTAGAAACTGAAATTAAAAACATGGACTCAAATAAAAGTCCAGGATACGATAATATTAGTAGTAAGATAATAAAATTATCGGCAGGAGAAATTACAAAACCACTTACTCATATATTTAATTTAACATTTGTAAATGGAATTATTCCTGAAAATTTAAAATTAGCAATAGTAACACCAATCTTTAAAGCAGATGAAAATAACAAGTTTAAAAATTACAGACCAATTTCAGTTCTTTCTTGCTTTTCTAAACTACTTGAAAAGCTAATGTATAACAGATTAATTAGTTTCATTGATAAAAACCAAATTCTTTCCAAGCACCAATATGGTTTTAGGAAAAATAGATCAACCGAACTTGCAATAATTGAACTTGTTGAAAAAATTACAAAAGGTATAGATGGAGGGAAATATACAATAGGTATTTTCCTTGATCTATCAAAGGCATTCGACACAATTAACCCGGGATTCTGATTAAAAAGCTAGATTATTATGGTATAAAAGGTAACTGTCTAGAATGGTTTAAAAATTATTTGGGGAATAGAAAACAAATCGTCAAGTACAACAATGTAAAATCAAATGAAATGATAATAAAAAGTGGTGTCCCACAAGGATCAATACTTGGGCCACTGCTGTTTCTATTATATATAAATGATATTCAAAACTGCAGTAAAATAGTTTCTATTATTCTATTTGCAGATGATACTAATGTATTTTATAGTCATACCTGTCTAAAAACACTTAATGAAATAATGCAAATAGAAATCAATAAAATATCGGATTGGCTGAATATAAATAAATTATCTATAAACACGGCGAAAACTAAATTTATGTTATTTAGATCATCGAAGAAAAAACAAAAACATAATGTAACTATTTCTATAAATGAACAAATAATTAAGCAAGTTAAAGACACTACATTTCTAGGCGTTGTTATTGACGAGTGCTTAACCTGGAAAGAACATATTAATTTAATCTCTAAAAAAATTATAAAAGCATCAAGTATCATTTCCAGAATACGTCATTTTACTAATCTTAATACTCTGCAGCTAGTTTATTATGCACTGGTCTATCCATATCTGATTTATGGGAACCTAATCTGGGATAATACGTATAAAACTAGAATTCAAAA